TGTGGAGATGGCAAATGTCATTATTTTATTCGTAATATAACATAGATGACAGATCAAAAGTTTAATTTGAGTAAATGTAACATTTTAAAGGAAAAATATGTTGATTCAAAATTTCACATTGTCAACAAATCCCAAAAAAAGTTGGGACAAGTAGCAATAAGTGGCTGGAAAAAGGAAATTGTGCATATAACGAACAGCTGGAAGACCAATTAACACTAAATAGGTCAATTGTCAACATGATTGGGTATGAAAAGAGCTTCTCAGAGTGTCAGTGTCTCTCAGAAACCAAGATGGTAAGAGGATCACCAATTCCACCATTGTTGCGCAGAAAGGTAGTGCAGCAATACCAGAATGGTGTTACCCAGCGTAAAATAGCAAAGACTTTTAAGTTATCATCATCAACTGTACATAAAATCATCAAAAGATTCAGAGAATCTGGAACAATCGCTGTGCGTAAGGGTCAAGGCCGTAAAACTCTACTGGATGCTCGTGATCTCCGGGCCCTTAAACGTCACTGCACCTCAAACAGGAATGCCACTGTCAAGGAAATAACAGAATGAGCTCAGGAATACTTCCAGAAAGCATTGTCAGTGAACACAATCCACCGTGCCATCCACTGTTGCCAGCTGAAACTCTACAGTGCAAAGAGGAAGCCATTTCTAAGCAAGCTCCACAAGCTCAGACATTTGCACTGGGCCAGGGGTCATTTAAAATGAAGTGTGGCAAAATGGAAGACTGTTCTATGGTCAGATGAGTCACGATTTGAAGTTCTTTATGGAACACTGGGACGCCATGTCATCCGGACCAGAGAGGACAAGGATAGCCCAAGTTGTTATCAACGCTCCATTCAGAAGCCTGCATTACTGATGGTATGGGGTTGCATGAGTGCTTGTGGCATGGGCAGCTTGCATGTCTGAAAAGGCACCTTTAATGCAGAGAACTATGTTCAGGTTCTAGAACAACATATGCTCCCATCTAGACGTCATCTCTTTCAGGGAAGACCCTGCATTTTTCAACACGAAAATGCCAGACCACATTCTGCAGCAATCACAACATCATGGCTACGTAGGAGAAGGATCCAGGTACTGAAATGGCCAGCCTGCAGTCCAGATCTTTCACCTATAGAGAACATTTGGCGCATCATAAAGAGGAAGGTGCGACAAAGAAGGCCCAAGACGATTGAACAGTTAGAGGCCTGTATTCAGGTCTCTTGTAAATGAGTCCCCGAGGCTCAATGGGACAAACCTGTATAAATAAAGGTTGAATGAATTAGACATGAATGGGAGAGCATTCCTATTTCTAAACTTGAGAAACTGGTCTCCTCTGTCCCCAGACGTCTGTTGAGTCTTGTAAGGAGAAGGGGGGATGCCACACAGTGGTAAAAATGGACTTGTCCCAACTTTTTTGGGATTTGTTGACGTCATGAAATTTGGAAACAACAGATTTTTCCCTTAAAATTATAAATTCTCTCAGTTTAAACTTTTGATCTGTGATTTGTGTTCTATTCTGAATAAAATATTAGATGTTGGCACCTCCACATCATTGCATTCAGTTTTTATTCACAATTTGTTTAGTGTCCCAACTTTTTTGGAATCCGGTTTGTGTGTATATATATATATATATATATATATATATATATATATCAGGTGTATATATATATATAAAGATCTAAAGGTGTTTTAAACCCTTCCCACACTCTTGCAATATTCTAAACAATGTTTCTAAACTCTAAACGCTCTACAAGAGACAGAATGTCATGATTTCAGCTCCCTGCCTCCAGCTGCACTCTGCCCCCTGCAAGCGATCTCGGCCACGCCCACTTCTCCGCTCTGCATGGAGATCAGCTGATCAGTGTGGGCTGCACAAATGTGCAGCAGGTGCTGAATAATTTTGAAATAATTTAATTTAAATAAAAATTCCATGCCGATGGTGTGGCTCACCCATCAATCAGCCAATTGTGTGTCATGTCACATCTTATTTTGAAAAACCACGATAGAACGAGTCCGCGATAACCGAACCGCAAAGTAGCGAGGGACTACTGTTCTTTGTTTTTAAATGTCCAACAGACTATTAAACACATTCAAGGAATTGGACATGCATCTCATAACGTGACTTCTTATATATATATATATATACACACACAGACACACACATATATATATATATATATATATATATATATATATATATATATATATATATATATATATATATATATAAAAATTTTCATGAATGTTAATTTGGCTTCAAGGTGAATTGACCTTATTGTCTTTGTTTTTATTGTCTTGTTGGATTTTAGGATTTGGGGATATCGAAAGTGGGTCATATGAAGAGAATTCTCCAGGGAACTAAGGAACTGGCCAAGGCCTCCATGGTTGACCTCTGACCTGGGAGCAAATCCTGCTCGAAAAAGGAAACAACCAATTCCATAATGTGAGCAAACACGTTTGAGAGCACTGCAGGCAGTGAGGGAGTAGACAGGTATTCAAGGAGATCTGGATTTATTTTCCTCTGTTCAGAAAGACTTTGTGATGTTGTGAACAATATGCATTTCAAAATGTTTGCCCTTTGGTGCCAAAATGACTGTGAAGATCTCTGATGAAGGTTCGAATGGAAACCATGGAGCTTCACAAGGCAACAAAAGCCATCTCTAAGATACAACCACTCAAAGCATACCATCAGACACGCAGTCAACCCGTTGACTGACCAGTGGTGTTGAGCAGTGACAAACTAGTAGCAATATTAGAACTTCCATGATTGTTGGTTTCAGTATGGGTCCAGTGAGCTACATTAAAGCTAAAGTCAGGTTCTGTAGCAACAGAAGATAACGTCACTTCTTCTGAAGGTGTGGAAAATGAGAGATGCTGCTGCATGATCTGCTCGCTTAACTTGCTTATCTTTTTCTGCATGATTAGTGTCTTAACTTTGTGTGCTTAATAACACTTGAACAAGTTTTTTATGATGTATTAAGTATTGCAATGCCATTTGTTACTACTGAAAGCATCTTTTTTTGGTCTAAACATTATTATTTTTTTACATTTAAGTTTTAATTTATTTTGCTTGCATGATAGTGATGTGTCAAAGATTCCTGTCAAGTGCCATTCTCTAAGTCATTTTGTGTAAGATGTGCTTTATTGGTAGTATCATAAGAGATTTTTGACGAGTTCTGAATAAATGGAGTTCATGTGCATAATCTTGTCTGTGAGAAACACAGCGCCTTCAAAAAGTATTCACATCCCTTAAACATATCCACATTTTTTCATGTTGCACCATAAACTTTAAAGTACTTTAATGGGATTTTAGGTGAAAAAACCAGTACACAGTAGTGTATTCTGTAGTTCAGCTGTAGCTCTGGCTGGTTATTTTGGGTTGTCCTGCTGGAAGGTGAACCTCTGCCCAAGTCACAAGTCTTTTGCAGCCTCTAACCGGTTTTCTTCCAGGACTTTCCTGTATTTAGCTAAATTCATCATCTTTCCATCACACTGCTCATCTTCCCTATCCCTACTGAAGAAAACCATCCCCACAGCATAATGCTGCCACTACCATGTTTGTCTGTGGGGATGGCACATTCAGGATGATGTGCAGTGTTGTTTTGGAATATTGTTTTATATCGTACCCCTGATTTAAACTTCTCAAAGACTTTATTCCTGACCTGTTTTTTATGTTCTTTGATTTTCATGATGCTACTTGATCACTAATGGTCCATTACAAACCTTTGAGGCCTTCACAA